TATAAAGGATTTGTTCTAATTTTCCTATCATTGTCAGTACTTGACATAAAAGAAATAAATTACTAGGAATCACAGACAGGAATTACTGCATCAACAGAAATAGTAAACTACTGATAAATTCAGAAAATGGTCTATATTATGAGCTTCAATTCATTCTTGTAGCAAATACAATAATAATTTTGTGATATTTCCTTTATGAACAGCCACTTTCATGTAAAGATTCCATCTATATCAGAATCATACAAAGCTTTGTTAACATTAAATTTAGAGCATATATAAAAAATATGGATACTGTGTATCCTTAAGATATATGAAAAGCATTTCACAATAAGAGGAACTTTCAAGTGAAATACTAATGTTAAAAGACGTAATAAGGTAACTTATAATTTGCATATATATTATAAGATGTAAAGCCTCAAAGAGAACCATGCTTGATGAAGAAATGAAAAAGACAATTCCATTGATAATATGGAGACAAAAAAAATCAGTGCATGAGTATTATGAACATTACTACTAGAGTGAAACATACCAGTGGACATGCTTTAGCTAATTTTGTTATATGTACACAATTTACTTACTCACTCACTCAGTCATTCTTTTTTCTCTCTCTCTCTGATATACTCATGCACACGCACGCACGCACGCACGCACGCACAGCACGCAGCACACACCGCACGCACACCACGCACGCACACACACACACACACACACACACACACACACACCACACACACACACACACACACAACATCTCTCTCTTCTCTCTCTTACACTCACACTCACTCACACTCACTCACTCCATTCTCAACCCACTAACTCACACTCACTCACCCACTCAACCACACACTCACTCACCCACACTCAACCAATCAACCACCCACATTCAACCACACAACAACACACTCACTCACCCACCCACACACTCAATCACACAAGAGTTGCTTTCTTTTCACTCAAAAGAAAGGCCATGCAACACTACTGAAACCCATGAAGACATTACCACAATCTAAAACAAATAATCATGTCAATATTCAGGCCTCCATGCTCTAAATCTAGTTAATGAAAACATTTCTATGTTTATAAAATTAGAAAATGTTTCGTATATTCCCCCCTGCTCCACATTCAGTAAAGTATAACCCAACTAGTCCTACATCTAATTCTTCTAATTTCCCAGTTGGTTGGAATAAAAAGCAATAAACACAAGCCTACTGTAGAAAACAACGCAATTAAAACTATATCAGGAAGTATTGTGCATAAATTTAGCACAATCTAAGCTATGAAGACTGCCTCATATATAAATTTTTGCTTAAACTACAAGTAAATTTCTGCTGAGTGCACCGTAGCACTATTAGTCAATTAACATCAGGACATTCATAACAATAATTATTTACATCACTGGTCTTGCATACCTATAAGAGCTTCTATAAAACAATCCATCTGTCTTGATAACTTGAAAATGAAGACATCGCTAAAAACAAGCAACATCAAACAATTCTAAGTGTCCACATCCGTAAAACATGATTCATTCTCTAGCCAAATATTTCTTTTTAATCAGAAGACTACTGTATACCTTCTAACCACGATCATGCTAATAACTACTTACTTTAAAATGATCACTCACCACGTGCAAGAAGATAATGTTACCTTTGTAACCTATGTAAATATTCTCATTTACAATATTTCATCATGGAAATGCCAAGTAAACTTTGTCTCCTATGCTACCATACTGTGACACTTTTTTCCTGTGCACACATTAAAATTTATTCATTCACTGGCTGCTATTCCAATCTGCTCATTACAATTTTTCTATTTTGTGGTTGCTCAAAACAAATCAACTACAACGACAATGCTATAATTCTATCAAAATGCTTTATCATAATCTTAACCCACTGATGCCAGGAGGGTATGTACATACATGCCCAGTCCACTTTGATATTTGTTTAATTAATAATGTTTACATATGGATGACTCTAAATGCTTAGTCACAAAGCAGTCAACTACCCATTTTCCTCTTCTTACCTTTTCCCTTGAAATAAATATTATCAATATCGTTAATAACATCTTAACAATCATAATGTCAGTAACAATAATAGCAACTGTATAGATAATAACAGCACTAAAAAAATCCTAAACGGTCAAGGAATGGGGTAAACATATGACTTTAGTTATGTCTACTGACTGACTTCTTTTTAATTATGCTCTTGTGGAATCATTTGTATGTAAACAAAATTTACATATCAAAACTACAGTGGACACTACATGTACTTGGTGCTACTGGGCTAAAGTGGATAATATCTTAGCTCATTAAACTTTTTTTTTTTGAAGTGATAAAATATGGTGATAATTTCCAATACATTAGTTAACCACTAGCCAAAGGGTGGCATGTACATATATGCCATGGCTGCTGTGGACCAAAAAACGGATGGCATCATATCATGCCCATTCCCACGCAATTGGTTTGTCGGAGTTTGTTTTTCTCCAATAGTAGGAGCTTCATTTATTTGGTAAAGATTTTATGCAATAGGACCTATAATGAAGGTAAACCTATAATATTATGAGATTTTTATAAATTATAGCAAAATAAGAGCTTTTATAAAGCTGCCAAATATTGCTCACAAACTCCCGAACTAGCCGGGCGCAAACAGGGGAAACTGCCGATGCACGCCAACAATCTCGTTATTACGTCCACTTGCTAAACTTTTATGCCTGTCGGTATTGGGTTAATAGAAAGAGGAATTGGCAACATTATATGAGTTTAAGAACAGGATATACTTTGCTCTTCTCACATTCAGGTTTTAGGTTTTGAGTCCCCATTTCTTAACAAGGCACTATTGCATTCTATTAAAACCCTAAATGGAAATATAGATAAATCTAAATGACAAAAGATTACATTTTCATTTCTTTCAGTCCCACTACCTAGAATGCAGAACTTTGGAACACCTAAAAACTATAAACAAAGAGTCTCTCCATTTCAAAAATATTAATTTTTCTGATATTAATGTCCTGAAGTCACAGCGAAGTCCCTTGCCAATCACCGCAGATTTGTGTCAGATGTCTCTATCACACGTGTCTTGAGTCATCCACTACTACCACGCCCTAAAGAACAACTTGTTCAGCACCACTACTTGTGAGCTAGAGCTATGTGCAGGCTCACATTATCACTGACGTGTTATTTCACTATCTTCTTTTTCTTTAGTCTCTCTACTTTTAGCAGTTACCATACTATTCATAAATCAAAAACAATTCCCATGCCATAATATAAACAAAGTGATCCTCTCCATAAAAAAGCATAAAATTAAATTTATGAAACTTTCAAGTCAAAGGAAAGACTGAATATATTTAGTTTCTAAACAGATTTTTATAAAAGTCCAAGCATCTTCACTGGAATTTCAGGCAAAAAGAAAAGCATTCAAGAAAGACAATATTTAAAAAGAAAGAGATATACTGAGTAAAACAATTAAAAGCAAATTTTCTTAATTCTTAGATAACTGAAGGAGAGCCATAAGATATGATGCTTCCCTTTGCTGTGGAAACTTCAGAAACAGATTCTTGAAAAGGCTGGTAGCTTTATGGTATGGTAATTATTTGAATGAACTTAATCACTTTCTTTATTCTAACAACACAAATAAATTACTGAATGACATTTCATCCACTAAATCTTTATCATATATTTTTCTAACTAAGTCACTATGATCGAGGGTCTGAATGTATTCAAAATACTTGCACTACCTTAGATGCCATTTGGAATTAGTTTTGGTCAACCACTGAGATACAACTTTGTTTCACGGCACTCTGAATAAATATCATTTGGCCAAAACGAAAGTAAAGATTAAAAATGGCATCCCCTAACTGCAGACTTCTTTCCAAACATGAATGGGTATTGCAGTACGTACAATCATATATGCAATCAATATCATGAGAAAAGCATTGAGGCAAAATTATTAATCATCAACTACATTACCAATAAATAATATAAGACTACACAGAAAAGGGTAATGCTGGTTAAATTTGATAAGCTCGGTTCAAAATGACAGTAAGGTACATTTTGCTATCTATCTATCTAGAAAAAAGGGGAACTTCTGCACTACCAGCCTCGATTCTCAAAGGTCAACCCCAATCAAATTACTAATAACCTTAAGAGAGAGAACATAAAAAAAGGCAACCACTACACTCAACTTAGCAAAGGGAACAATCATGGTAAATGGCTTGTGATCACACTGATAGAAACCTTAACCGCTTATCCTTCGGTCTTCATCTATGACACACAATTTCATCTCTCGGTACCATACAATAATCTTAAAACATTTCTGAATCATCTTAAATTTTTGTGAACAATTTGCAATGAACAGCAGAACTGAAATTAAAATGGAAAGAGCACATGGAGGGACAGGGAAATAATAAATAAGCAGAAGAAAGTAATCAATGAGAAGCTTTGAAAACGATGTCTGGATCTTAATCAATATTCAAATACATTAAACAGTTAAGGGTTTGGATATTATTACTTGAACTTATTGGAGAGAGAATTTCTAATCATGTAAACACTTGAATTTAATCTAAAAAAGGGGATTCTGTAATAAAATATTTGACAATCATAATGGAAAACCAAGCATTTTACCAAATGTTAATATGTATATCTAAATAATTTATCAGAAACATACATGAATGACAGTGATAATGATGATGGTGAACATGTCCAATCTTAAAATAAATCAAATACATAATCTTCTAAAATATGTAATCATTGTATGCATCAAAGTGAAATTAATTATAAACATAGCACTGAAAAAGACAAATTAAAATTAATCATTGTATGCATCAAAGTGAAATTAATTATAAACATAGCACTGAAAAAGACAAATTAGAAACAAATTCTTTAACAGATAACAAAGCATATTGCATTTTGCATCCAAGAAATATAAATAAAAAAGTCTGCGTAATAATCTATACTTTTACAATTTTCTATTATCAGAACAATTTCAAAAGACTCGAGAATCACCATTTTCTGATGCTAATGGAAAACTTAACTTTATTTGAAAATACAAATATGAAAAAAGGTACAAGTAATACAGAATCCATTTGGATTTACATTGCTTCATTATGAAGAAGGGAAAGAAAACAAAGAGAAATGGAAAAGTTGCATTAGGCAAAGAAAAAGAAAAGGAAAAAGGATAAATGAAAGAAAAAGAAAAAAGAAAAAGGAAAGGAAGAAGGATAAATGAAAGAAAAAGAAAAGAAGAAAAGTCATATAAAATAGAAAAAAAGACAAAGCAAATAAATAATAACAATAAGAAAAAATAAATAAATAAATAAAAAAAATAAAAAAAAATCAATCTTAAATCACCAATCAAAAGCATTCTTAAGGTTCCCATCAAAGCGCAACATCACACGGCGAAATAAAACTCTTACTCTTAGGACCTTCCTGCTTCCCTTAATGTGCTTAACCAACTCCTCCCACCTGAAGCTTCGAGAATCCACTTGACACTAGAGAGGAGACCAGTTCCTCTACGCGTGCCAGGTCCTTTATCCGCACGTGGGCAGCGTTCAGCAGGCCCAGCTGCAAGAAGGTTGGCATTTCTTGTAAGATTGGTTATCAAAAAGGGGATGGAAATGAGAGCAATAATAATAATAATGATTACAATCATAATAATAAATATAAGAAGAATAACAATAATAATAATCCAAACAATAAGAAAAAACTAATAATGGATAATGAATAAATAAAAAAAAATATAATAAAAAATAATAATAATAGCAATAATGACAATGATAACTAAAAACTTTTGATGATACTAACTACTACTTCTAACAATAATAATAATAACAATAATAACAATTTTAAAAACTCATAATCATGGTATTATCAATGAGTGGTAACAATCATAATATAGATGTGGTATAGCTAAGTCCTAAAGTGCTAGCTCTGCAATCGCAAGGTCTTGTGTTCGTACCCAGTTGCTCCTCTCGCAGTTGACTTAGCAAGGAGTGAATACTGGCATGCTGACATTAACATATTGAGGTCAAAGTTGGGGCAGAAAGGAACTAGTCACTGTACCACATTATCTGACAGCTTAGTACACATCTTTTTCTATGAACATGGCACTAACTTTGACACTGATTTGAATAATCAATCATTATTCATTATAATAATAATCTTGATAACAAAAATTGAATAACAATTGTATTATTATTACTTTTGATGATGAAGACTGATGTCAATCATGCCAGTATTCATATAATTACTATAATTAATAATAACTAAAGGAAATTATGTTTTGAACAGGTTTTTTATCAACAGTAATAATAATCAAGATGATGGTGCTAAAAACAATGACAAATATAATGACGATGATGATCATGATTATAACATATAACAAAGTACTCACTTTCTCCAAAGTTGGATACATAGGCACAGTTTCTGGCATGATTCCTGCAGTAAACTGGCAAAAACCTGAGTCAGATGGTCCAGAAGATTTGTGCCGAATGGCAGAGCCTTTGCTTGGTTCGGTAATGTGTTCCGTTGGTCTTGCTCCACCGAGCACTCTAGACAACTGTCGTCCACCTGCCCTTAACACCGCCCCTCGTGAGACAATCATGAGGTTCTCAGTCACACATATGTTGATGGCAAGACACAACAGGTGTTACCTGCAAGGTTACGACTTGGTTAAAATGGATGTGAATGAAAGTGTTATTCATTAATTATGACACACCCTAGTCTTGATTTTGTCAATGTTTTGGGATTTTATAGTATAATAAAGACCTCTTGCAACAATTTTTGCCTTCCAAAGATCAGATCCTTTACCAAATATATATCCATCTCAGTGTTGTATTTTGCATGCAGACTATCAAAGAACATAATTCATTTAACCTTAACAAACAAGGCAAGCACAGATTATAAAACAATAAGATTTTTTTACCATTTAAGAGACTTAAGCAAACATGCACAATCTAGTATCTAACAAGGTAAAGTCATCCAGCAAAGGGCCATATCAAGTAATGTCACAGCCACCACACTTCCCACACCAACAAATACCAACAAACTTTAACCACATATATATCTACAGCTAGATATATATACAGTGAAAGTTCATTCACCTATGCTGTAGCAAAAAGTGCAAAGGCCAGAGCATATTTTGATATACAGATCTGTGGACTCTGATTAGAGATTGTGGGTTTATCTTTACTGTACATAATCTTTTTTCATGTCTCACCTGAAGTATTCTTAAGGATTATTCTCATTATTTACTTTTCTCTTTTCTCCCAATGCTGGATAGCTAAGACCACAATTAAAGCTGTTATATCAAATGCCATTTATGAATAGTTTTTTATATCTTGTTACTCCAAGAAGCTACACAACATGCTATATACACATATCTATGTACAGTTAATTCTAATCTAATTATTTATTCATATTAGCAAAAGTAGTTTAAGATCTCTCTTATCATTGCCACAGCAAGATATCTCTTATCACTGTCTGTAAATATAAACTTTCATTTGCTTTAA